CATTATCACCATATCCCCGCCCCCTTTTCCCAGCATTACTCATATCACGCTCCCCAGTTTATAACCCATTTCATTTCTTCTCTCTTTTTTAAATATCATCAGTTCGGTGCCAACCACTTCTTAATCTTTTCCGGTCATCAGCAGTTCCCCGTGTCCTCACGACCTTTCATACCTCTCTTCTCCATATCTTTATGACATAATTATCGCGTTAATTGCTCATCTTTATCTTGGTATTTAGTGACCGCTTGAGTGGTTTTTTGTTATCATGGTGATCAGTGAGGCATGCGTTTTGTGTGTTTTTTGGTTGAGAAAATGCGGGAAAAACTTGTAAAACCTGTAACTTTAAGCTAATTTTTCTTAGGTTCCTGTGGGAGATATCAAAAAATTGTCAACTGATAAATGTTTGTTATATTACAGAAAGATTTCATCAGTTGACACATTTTTGATATCTTTAAGAGGAATCGAGATAAATAAGGTAAAACTTAACAGTGTGGGGGACTCTTGTATTACAGTCTCTTGTATTACTTTCACGGTAGATGGTATGGATTTTGGAGAATCTCAGAATCTCAGAATCTCAGAATCTCAGAATCTCAGAATCTCAGAATCTCAGAATCTCAGAATCTCAGAATCTCAGAATCTCAGAATCTCAGAATCTCAGAATCTCAGAATCTCAGAATCTCAGAATCTCAGAATCTCAGAATCTCAGAATCTCAGAATCTCAGAATCTCAGAATCTCAGAATCTCAGAATCTCAGAATCTCAGAATCTCAGAATCTCAGAATCTCAGAATCTCAGAATCTCAGAATCTCAGAATCTCAGAATCTTAGAATCTTAGAATCTCAGAATCTCAGAATCTCAGAATCTCAGAATCTCAGAATTTCAGAATCTCAGAATCTCAGAATCTCAGAATCTCAGAATCTCAGAATCTCAGAATCTCAGAATCTCAGAATCTCAGAATCTCAGAATCTCAGAATCACAGAATCTCAGAATCTTAGAATCTCAGAATCTTAGAATCTCAGAATCTCAGAATCTCAGAATCTCAGAATCTCAGAATCTCAGAATCTCAGAATCTCAGAATCTCAGAATCTCAGAATCTCAGAATCTCAGAATCTCAGAATCTCAGAATCTCAGAATCTTAGAATTCCAGGTACTAGAAACCTCAGTTCTCCAAGCCTTTTAGATTTTCAGATTTTGCCAATTTTGATTCTCAAAATCTGAAAAAGGCGCTAAATCAATCTCTCCAAGAATTTTTAGTTGCCAAAATGTCACTTAATCCATGAAAACTTGACTGTTCCAATTCCAAAAATGATAGATCAAGTACATCACACATGTTAGAACCTCATTTGACACCTCTAACAGGTTCCGTTCCAAGAATTTTTTTTGACAAGAAGAAGCCGATTTGGAGAAGAAGAAAAAGGTGACGAAGATCAATTGTCTCTCCAGAATATATCGGTCAGCTTTTCACCCCTTTTTTCTCACTCTTCTCTCCTTTCCGATCCATCACTCTAGGCTCCGCCCACTTGTCACGCCGTATTATCATCTTCTCTCCCCCCGTTTCTTTTCTCCGATTACCTCATCACCTACACCTTTCTTACCAATTCCTTATTAGTTAATACCTCCTGATATAAAAATCCCATTCTCAAATCTCCTATCCAAAAATTTTTTCTGGGTGTGGTTCCTTTGGCTTCGCGCCAAAAGATTCGTCCTTATCTGATTGTACTACTGACACCATGCGGGGAATGTGGGACGGGGAAATAGCCATTAATCTTCCAGGTTGATCTCTTTTTCCGAATTTTTTGGGATGGAAATAGTTTATCGATTTGGGTTTCGTTATCAGTGATAAGGGGGTTTAGTGACACCTGGGATGACAATCCTAGATCCGTTTTGAGATGGAGGAAGGATTTAGAAATATGGGTTTTTAGATTTCGAGGTTCTAGGATTCTGAAATTCTGAAATTCTGAAATTCTGAAATTTGAAATTCTGAAATTCTGAAATTCTGAAATTCTGAAACTCTGAAATTCTGAAACTCTGAAATTCTGAAAATCTGTGATTCTGAAATTCTGAAATTCTGAAACTCTGGGATTTTGAAAATCTGAGATTCTGAGATTCTGAGATTTTAAAATCTTAAAATATTAGAATTCCATAATTTTAGAAATTTTTTAAATTTTAGAAATCCCTTTTTTTTTGAACGAAATCATTTTTACGTGATTCGTCATTTTCCATATTGTCTTTTTGTTCATTTCAGTAAAAAATTTTCAGATTCATCACTTCCTCAGATTCGTGTCCCTCACTCATTCTTCCCAAATCTACAGTACCCCAAAAAATTTCCAAAATGACTCATCATGTTGTTCCAGAACATTACCAACCACCCTGCTTCATCTCCCCTTCTCTCATTTTCAAAACATTTCGTAACGGTTATCACCACTTTTTTCCCCATTTCCGCCCAATTCCTCACGTTCCCAGACATTTCCCCCTTCTCGGTTATTTCGACAGATTTCACTAATCAATCATCTAATTCCCTCCTCCCATTTCCATGTATCATCACTAATTCGATTGGTTTCTCATTCTTCTTCTTATTCTCAAAAATGTTCGTACTTTCTTATCAAATCTCCGGAACTTTCGTTCTTCATTTCCCTTCCATTTTCGTTTTCTGCTAATTTGCCACTGACCCGGATCAATTACCTTCAAAATTCATTATTCCAGAAGAAATGAGACCGCGAAAAATGAGGTCTCCCAATATTCTCATCCTGATCGTTTTCTGGGTCGCGACGTCATCTGGATTCCCTCTCGAAGAAAAGTTCGAGGGGCTATTTAGAGCCGAGCCACCACATTGTTCAAAAACGCCGATTGTCAGGGCGCAGACTTCTCAAAGTGAGTTATTTCTAATTCGGTAAACACCTTTATATCTCGGTTCCTTCAAAAGATTTCAAAAAGCTGTCAACTGATAAAATTTTTATCAAAATATCACCAATATTATATCAATTTACTACTTTTTGATATCTTTCACAGAAACCAAGATAACTGAACTCAAAGTTAGCGGTTCCAATGGCTTTCAGTTTACCCTATAGTTCATTTTGAGGTCAATTATCTCGGATGCCATTGAAGATATGAAAAATTAACAAATTAATAAAATATTGCTGATATTATGATAAACATTTTATCAGTTGACCTCTTTTTGATATCTTCTACAAAAACCGAGATAATTGAGCTCAAAATAGGCGGTTCGGGTGGCCTTCTAATTAGCCGTTACGTGCACTTTGAGCTCAAATATCTCGGGTGCCATGAAAGATATTGAAAATTTGTTAACAGATAAAACGTTGGTGATATTGTGATAAACAATTAATCAGTTGATCATTTTTGATATCTTCTACAGTAACCGCGATTAATTGGCTGAAAGTTAAAAGCCAGTTAGATGTATTTTCCGAAACTCTACAAGTGATTTTGTGAAAGATTGTCAGCTAAAAATTGAATTTTCAGTGCTGAATTTTATGTTTTCTTTTAATTAGAAGCGGATATTTTAATTGGTCGTGCCTGTCATCACCCGGCCAGCAGGAATTGATGACTAATCGCCATTTTATCACTTCACTCAACCATAAATAAACCAATTCAGATGCCATGTCATCGATCGCTCGTGGAATGCAAATGCAGTTCTCCATCGGATTACACACCGCGGTTTGTTTCCGGCTCTTTGAAGATACTCGATTGGCCTCCACCTCGATGAACGGGATTGGAGACGATGATGCTGGAAATCAGACATCTCTTCTTCACACAATCCGATTGGAGAAGCTGGAGCATCATCATCCGGTGAGTCTAAAATCCAACTAAGCCGATAAATCCGAACTCCAACTTCTTCAGATCACCCAACGCTACATCTTCGGTATCCCCGAAGTCCACGCCAGCTGCATCTGCGAATGCGATGCCACCGCATCCACATGCACGGCCGAATCCCATCAATTCACCGCTTGTCCAGAATCCGACAAGTCAGATGAATCCACGGCATGCTACCGTACCTTCTTCCCGAATCAGACGCCAATCGGGTGTAGTGAAGATGATAGTCCGAAGCTTTGTTGTGATGTTAGGTTCAAGCCTTATAAGTGAGTGGTTTTAAAGAATTTTCAATTAAAAAAAGTTGTTTCAGAAATATGACATTCCTGGCTGTCAAGCTGGAACAGCCTACCACCTATGCCACATTCGTCTACGCTGCTTATGATTTTGTAAATGGTTACTGGGTGGAGAAGGATAAGACCACCATTCGATCCCAATTGGATGGAGGAACCCAGGATAGACATTTGGATTCGAAAAGAAGGATTTCTCTAGCTGTAACCGCCGGAGGCAGAGCGTCTCATCAATTGGAGACTGGTATGTACTTCTCAAGAACCAGCAATGGAGGAGAGACTGAGGAATTGAGAATGCAGCCGTTGAACGAGATCACTGATAATAAGTAAGTCTGGAGTTTTATTTTAAAAATTATAATTTTTCTTTTTTAGTTTCGACCGCCTTGGATGGTACCGAATGGATGAGTCTGGGCACTTTCATGTTAATAATGGTGTTGTAAAAATGGATGATATTCATAAAGCCAAGGTGAAAAATTGCAAGGAGCAGACGTATAGGTCGATTTTGGCTGCGAATAATTATGTGAGTTTGTTTTCGACAACTGTAGATTGCTCATTGAGCTTACCGTATCGTAAAGAAGCCAAAGAAGCGCTCAATTACTTACACTGATAAAAAATACAATCGGGTATATCGTTAGGCATAAATATTCTAGAAGCACGAAAATTGGTAGAAATGTAATCTTACGTTTGAGTCAAAGCGACTGATATTTTCAAAGCGATTCCTTAATTCTAGGTTTTGTTATGATTGTCCAAAAATCCGTTGTGATAAGATGAATCAACTATGACAAGCGATAACTCATCTCAAAATTGATCGAATAGTTGGATACTTGGTGGTGATGAAATATGCGAATTTTTGGTAGTCCACATGAGAGCAGTTTAAGTTTATTTACTTAAATTTTATGATATTAGAAACTTTAGACCGGTTAGTTATGATCCATCCGGTTAAGGAGCCAAGCCTGATTACTGATAAAATGATTTGACAACTCGAGTTTATCATACAAAAGAAAATCATAATTTCATTCTAAATAATTTTCAAAAATTCAGATGCCCGGACATTTTAACTTGAGCCGTCCTCTGGAAGTCAGCAAGCCGTGGATCCAATCCGCTCGAATTTTTGATAGCTCCTCCCGTCAAGCAGTGGTAACTCATGCCGAAGGAACAAACCTCCAGATTTCGATTCATTGTGAGTTTTAAAATTTTCCTATTTTGATTTCCATTACTTTATAACCCCTTTTTTTCAGTGGACGACGAAGTTGAATCCCAAAACCTTGTGTTCTTCCACAACGCTTCGCGCATCCGTGAATTCTCTGGATCCATCATCGTCGACTCGAAATCCAACCGACTTTTCAACCTGACCGTCTACGAAGCGTCAGGAAAAATCGATGGATCTGTGAAGATGTCAACCGGGTTCGGCTCGGACACAATTCACACGTTCACCGCCTACGTTAGCGATTTGCACGCAGCTAATCGATCAATGATCATTCCATTGCCAGCGATTGTTGGACCAGGAGCAAGAACAATTTGTCTTCGTGCCGATTCAATGGCTGATATTGATAGCATTTGTCACGTTGTCGAGTATTTCGAGAGTCCGCTCGAAATTGATTTGGTAGAAGGAAAATGGCATGAGATGATTGGAACTTGTCCGACTTGCAATCAAATCAATTTCAATGGAATGATGAAGTTCTTGAATCCAGCCCACTGGATCAAGGGAATCAGTTCGATAGGAGATGGGGTTATGATTGCGACGGACATTGTTGTCTACCTCGGTGTTCTTTGTATTCTCTATCTGTTGATTACCAAGATCATCATTCCGCTGGTAAGGTGCTGGGTTTGCCCTATGTCGATTTGTTGCTCCGGTGGATCGGGATCCTCGAAGAACAAGAGTGAGAAGAGAAGGAGAGGGAGAGATGAGAAGCGTAGACGGTGAGAGTTTCGAAGAATTTATTTTCTAAGTTTTTTCTATGTTCGTGAATGAGTATGTGTCTGTGTTGTCCGGTGTCATGCTTTTTGGGGGTGATTCTAAACGAACCAACCGTCAACTTTGAGCTCAATTATCTCGGTCGCTGTGAAAGATATCAAAAAGTGGTCCATTGATAAAGTGTTCATCATGACATCTTCAAAATTTTGTTAGTGGAACATTTTTTGTTATCTTTCACAAGAACCGAGTTTATTAAGTTCAAAGACGGTTTGGGTAGGATTCTAGGAGCTTACTCTAAACGTGCACATCGAGCTCAATTACCTCGATTCCTGTGAGAGGTAGCAAAAAATTATCAACTAATAAAATTTTTATCATAATTTTTATCAGTGAACAACTTTTTGATATCTCTCATGGGAACCGAGATAATTGGCTTAAAAGGAAAGTATAGGATGGGCTTCTATTAGACCACGGTATACCTAACTTTAAGCTAACTTATCTCGGTTCCTGTAAAAGATATCCAGAAGGAATACACTGATAAAATGTTTATCATAACATCATAAACATTTTATTAGTTGAACACTTTTTGATATTTTTTACAGAAACTGAGATGAATTGGCTAAAAGATTTGGGGGAGGGGGTTTACGGTATTTTGTTGTTCGTTTTCTTTATCGATTTCAGTACAACTACGTCTTCTAATTTATCAATTTTCAGGGAAAATTCGTCAAGTGCATCTCCAAATGCTTCTCCAAGACGTACACATGCATCTCCGAGAGATGCTCATGACACCCTTGCCCGCTACCACGGAGGATCTGATCGTTCCTACTACAGTAGCAGTCAGTACATCTAAATCTCCTTCTTCTTCTCCCAATTCTTTCCTTCCCAAATTCTGGTCACAACCCCCCGCATCATGACAAAATATCTCGTTTTTCTTATTTATGGGTAGCTCTAATGCCAAAAAAATCCTTCTGATTCGATGACGCGTATCTTCTTTTTTGTTCCATTGTCTTTTCTTTTCTTACCCCAGTGCCCACGGGTTTTGCCCTAATCTGTAATAATTTGAATTCTTCTCTGTGATTCCATCCCAAATTGTGCCTTTCAACCTGTTTCCAACGGTGCTTTTCTGTGTCCCCCAAACCAAAATTCGCCCTGCTGTGCGGGTGTGTAATTGCCTTTTTTCTAAATAAATTTATTCTTTGCATTTTGAAAAAGCAGATACCATTTAACCGGTACAAATATAAGCAACTGGAAATAATAGTTAGCAAAAAATTTCCACAGGAAAAACGGACGAGGAGAACCCGGTAGAATTATGAGAGAAGAGATTCAAAGAATGTTCTGGATTGAAATCAGAATGGCTAGAAGTATGACGAGATGAGGATGATGGCATGGCGGTGCCACGTCACTGGTGGCAGAATACAGGAAACCGGTGAGAAGTGAAGGAGAGCAGCTATCTGGAAAAGGGAGCAATTTGGGGGTCTATAATTTATCAATGCCTCTAATTTCTGAAAATTTCTTAACGATCACAAAATAGACAACATTTTGCTCGATTCTGTCCAAAAACAGAGTTCCTAGCTCATCTAGAAGTGGAGATACGGTCGTTTGAAATTTCCAAGGCAGTGTGTCTCGTCGTCTGACGTCTCTAGCCTTATGAAACTTCGAATGACTGTATCTCGGCTTCTAGATGAGCTAGGAACTCTGTTTTTGGACAGAATTGCACATTTTAAAGTTGATTTTTAGATTATGGTCTGTCGTTGAGCATTGCTTGACCAGCAGTTGAGCCGTCGTTTCGGCTATTTTGGTTCATTCTAACCGAAATTTCAACAGTTTTTTACTTTCAAGGCACATTTTTGGAATGCTATGATTGGGGTTCTTTTCAGACCATTTTCCGCTGATACGGTAATTTGAAGTTTCGAAGGTCAGAGACGCAGTGTGTCTCGTCGTCTGACGTCTCTAGTCTCAGGAAATTTTGAATGATCGTATCTCAGCTTCTCGATGAGTTAGGAACTCAGTTTTTAGACTGAATTGCACAATTTGAACTCGATGTTTAGATTAGGGTCCATCGTTGGTCTGTTCCGGCTATTTTCTATCATTTCAGCCGTACTTACCTGATGAAGAAAAATTCAAGGAAAGAAATGGTGTAGCACTGTTCACAGAGACATCTTCACATGACACTCTATCGTAGACACGAAGAAGATTGATACGATCGGAGACGTAGGTCTGGAGAAAAGATTCCTAAGTTTTTAGAGCAAAAAGTCTTACCATGCAAAACAATTGCCTCGACAAACCGTCCCGCGCTATAATGAAGTCGTTACCTTCATGTTTGAAATTCGCAACACAAGTCATCTCATCTGAAATTTAACTTTGAATTCTCAAAACAACCAAAAAAGAATGCTCACCACCATCAGGATACGAGCAGTCTCTAATCAGACTCATCGAGTATTTTGATGAGCATCCAACCTGGAGAATTGGTCCGGGACACAGGCTCGAATAGTGTTTTCCACCAATCGGACATGCTTCTTTGGATCCGTGAAGGATCAACGTGTCCCGGGTCTCTACGACGAATTCTGAGCAATCGGTGAAAGATTCAGATGGGTTGATTTCTCCGAATTCAATGTGGACAATGTGCGGTTTTCTCATGTGGAACTGAAAATTGTTGAACTACAGTCATTTGAAATTTCGAAAAGACGCAGACGGTTAGAGTTCCTCGTTGTCTGCGTCTTTTCAAAACTTCAAATGACTGTGTTTTAGCTTCTAGATAAGCTAAAGGATTGAAACTTGCTTGAAACAAAATAAAATCGAAAATTCTAAATTTCGTAGTTTTTTTGTAGCTAGAGTATGCATATGGCTCAGTCTGTAGCGGCGCCGCACCCTCAATCATCGCCCTCACAAGTTCAACTCCTCGAGGGGCATCTTTGAACGGAATTTCGTGAACATTTTTTTTTTTCATGTCCCCGCACCTTTAAGTTATGAAGAGACGCAGACGATGAGACAGTCTGCGGCTCTAGCTTCATAAATTTCAAACGACTCTATCTCGGCTTCTAGATGAGCTAGAGAATCGTGGTTTGAGCAGAATACGAAAAAAAATTTAATACTCACCCTAACACACTGATATCCAACTTTGCACCCTTTCGTCACATATGTTCTAAAAGTGAAATGCTCTTCTCGATCCGTCGGAAACTGTTGAAGGCAAGTCCAGACTGTATCATTGCGACCTTTCACTGATGAAATCCACGCGCCATGGTACATCCGATGATAGGTCCCCGATAACATGGACTCCCAGTTTCGAGACTTTTCTCCGTACATGTTGATTGGGAATTCGCATGCCGAGTGAACCGGGGAATCTGAAATTTTGATTTCGAACTTGTTCTGGAAGAGTTTCAGGCTCTGTCCCTAAATAAAGGTCAGTTTTGGAAGCTCTTTGGAAGAAAGACCTTCGAATTTGGATCGATTAGTAGGAAAACATGGCGTATCAGCCTAAGCCTTTAATTTTGAACTGAAAACTGTAATTTCTGGGAAATTCTTGATAAAAACAGATTTTCATCATAAAATAGACAAAATTTGCGCTTCTTTGAGCCGAGATATAGCCATTTGAAGT